GCTCAGGAACCAGCTGAAAGGTAAATGAAAATGAGTTTATGTAAAGAATAATTTTCATGATCCCATTTTCTTTAAATAAATAGCCCCATCTGATTATTTGACACTTCAAATGTTTTTTTTAGATAAAAAATATGAGCACATAGACAAATTTGCTTTTATAAAGCAGAAATAGTAACTGGCAATTATGATGATCAAATATTGTCATCCACATATACAGCAAGTTTTGTGGAACAAAAAGTTCGTAATTACTTGAGAGTCCTGTTAATATCCTTTTGATAAAAAGTTTGAAGGATCCTTGTTTTCCAGATAGCTCCTCAGAGAATAGTGTTCGAATCCATGAAGACCAACTGTATGAGCTGATTCAAGATGTCAAAGTGGAGCTGGAAGAAGCAGAGGAGCAGTTTGTCGATGATCTTGATGACGAAGATTATGGTGTGTGAGGTGCTTTCTCTCTTGAACTTTTTGAGTGTTAACTCATTGAATTTGAAATGTGTATATATGTGCTTAGTCACCAAAGGGTCAGTTACTAGGCCTACTTCATTTTACCTATTTACCCAATTTTTAATACAGATAGTCCCCTACTTAAGAACATTCTACTTATGAACATTCCATACATATAAACAAATTTTTTTAAGTACTAAAGTCCAAAAAATTGTTTGAAAGATGCTAGCAAACTTCAAATTTCCCGGGCATGAATATAGTTCAAGAGTCTGGCACTGTATAAGGTATGTCGTACTTATTGGGATTTATTTACAGGTATTCTTAATATAAACAAAACTTTAAAACAATGGGAAAAAAGGTAATGGAGACCCGACTTTCGACATACAAACAAATCAACTCACAAACAGCCTCTCGGTCCCCATTATGTTCTTTAGTTGGTGACTTACTGTATTTCCATAAAGAGTTATTATTATTATTATTGATAATATAATTATAATGTCAGTAATAATGATAATGAGGACCCACCCAATCCCTTGCGTGTTGTTGTTATAAGGGGAGGGGGGCTTAGGAGATAGGGACAAAGGCCTTTACCATAATGTTGTGTTACCTTTGATGTCTGATATATATATATATATTTTTTTTTTTGATCATTGACCATTCTGGAAATCCACAAACATTGCCTTACTGAACCAAAAAACTTTGCCCCCAAGCCCCACACTATTCCTATATATTGTATAATAATAAAATAATGTAATAGTAAGTATGATAGTAATAAAATAATGATGATAATGATAGTGAAGATGATAATTGTAATAATATTAGTAATAGTGATAATAATAAAAAAAGGTAATTATAATACTGATAATGATGATGATGATAATATAAAAAGGGGAATAATGATTATGATAATGAAAATTATATTGATAATGATGATAATGATAATAGTAATAGTAATGATAATAGTAATAATATGATTATGATATTTATGGTAATAATGATGGTAGCAATGATTACAATGAGATAGATATTGGTTATATTAATAATATTGATGATAGTGATAGTATTAGAAATAAAAAGGAATAGGGTAAACAGGTGAGTTCAAGTGAGGCTATTGATTGACGCCTTAGTAACAAAGCAATTATGGAGCCCTCTATTTATAAATAAAATTGACAAAACAAAGCTACACTGGACTGTATGTCCCTGGTGCCAATGGGATAATGTTCTTGTACTTATAGTGTTGACTAAATTTCATTAATTCATATGGCCACTGGGATAACATTCTTGTACTTGTAGTGTTGACTAAATTTCATTAATTCATATGGTTTATATGTGAGAATAATGTTTGTTTGCATATTTATTTTATTTAGTTTTTTTTTTATGATAGTTTTTGCTGTTTGCTTCCACTTTATATAAAATGTCTGACAAACTACAGGACCTCATGGGAGCAGGAGAAGGAATACTCGGTTGCGGAGTTTGCGAGGACGGAATGCTGCCATTAAAGGTGTAGTCTCAGTTTTTCTTGTCATGTCAGCATTTCTGTGAAGGAACTTACTGTAAATAGTCTTCCTTTCTCTCTGTCCCTGTCTGTCTTTAAATCTGTGTGTCTCTGTTTGTCTGTCTGTCTGCCTGTCTCTGTTTGTCTGTCTGTCTGTCTGTCTGCCTGTCTCTGTTTGTCTGTCTGTCTGCCTGTCTCTGTTTGTCTGTCTGTCTGTCTGTCTGCCTGTCTCTGTTTGTCTGTCTGTCTGCCTGTCTCTGTTTGTCTGTCTGTCTGCCTGTCTCTGTTTGTCTGTCTGTCTGCCTGTCTCTGTTTGTCTGTCTGTCTGCCTGTCTCTGTTTGTCTGTCTGTCTGCCTGTCTCTGTTTGTCTGTCTGTCTGCCTGTCTCTGTTTGTCTGTCTGCCTGCCTATCTCTGTTTGTCTGTCTGTCTGCCTGTCTCTGTTTGTCTGTCTGTTTGTCTGTCTGCCTGCCTGTCTCTGTTTGTCTGTCTGTCTCTGTTTGTCTGTCTGTCTGCCTGTCTCTGTTTGTCTGTCTGCCTGCCTGTCTCTGTTTGTCTATCTGTCTGCCTGTCTCTGTATCTGCCTCTGCCTCTGTCTCTCTGCCTCTGTCTCTCTCTGTCTCTGTGTCTCTGTCTCTGTCTGTCTCTGTCTGTCTCTGTCTGTCTCTGTCTGTCTCTGTCTCTGTCTCTGTCTCTGTCTCTGTCTCTGTCTCTGTCTCTGTCTCTGTCTCTGTCTCTGTCTCTGTCTCTGTCTCTCTCTGTCTCTCTCTGTCTCTCTCTCTCTCTCTCTCTCTCTCTCTCTCTCTCTCTCTCTCTCTCTCTCTCTCTCTCTCTCTCTCTCTCTCTCTCTCTCTCTCTCTCTCTCTCTCCAAATATATATACATATATATATATATATATATATGATGTCTCCATTTTATTTCAAATGCAATTGTTTTATTCATATGTTATTTATTTATTTATATATCTATTTTTTACTAAATTTTATCCATATATATCATAAATACTCAAATATAGTCTGTTGAAATTGAAGGCCAAGTTAGGTATTCCTCGTCATTATTCAAATGTGCCGTGGAACTCTCTTGACTCCCTAGCTGCTGGGAAAAGAGTCGGAAGGCCCAAGAGGAGCAAGACCTTGGTTGATGCCGGTTCAAATGGTGAAGCGAGTGTCGTCCAGTTGCAAGAGGGTCACCATCAGCAAAGAGGAGACGAAGGGGTTTGTTGATGAGGCAGTTTCATGAGGGGAGAGTGTAAATATGGGATGTTAGATAAATACTAGTGAATTAATCATGAGGTGATAAAGTAACAGTGGTGAAATAGTTGTGAGATGTGAAACTAGTGATGATGAATTAGTTGTGAGTTCTGTAATATCAAAAGAGTTGATACTTATTAAGCTAAATTAATTGAGATACCTAACAGAATATGAAGATATCTTCCCATTTCTTTAAATTTACAATTCTGATAAACTATGCTTGTTCAATCCTTTTGTTCCATTGCCTTGATTTAAAAATTCATCTTTCAGGAGGAAACAAAGAAAGATGAAAGTTTAACACCATTGGATTATGGTGACAGCCTGATGGAAGAAGCAAATACGCTTTCTGCACCAGAAGAAATGGTATGTTTATGTTCTCAACTCATAGTAATTATGCTTTTCGTGGTCCAAAAAACATAAATATTTTGAAATTTTCGAAAACAACTTATTTGTTACTTATTTTGTAAGGATTAAAATGCTTGTATTATGCCTCCTGGTGAGTTAAATAAAGTGTCAGTGGGTCAAGGGGTATGCATTTTGTTTGCAGGCCATTGTGCCTAGCTATGTGGCCAGCCTCATAACCTTTTAGTTTTATATATTCCTCTGTATGCTTTGTAGGTGTTGCAACTGTTATTTATTTTTGGATTTTGTCCCACACTATGTTTATTTGTATAGAGCTGCCAACTGTTATTTATTTTTTTATTTTGTCCCACACTATGTTTATTTGTATAGAGCAGCCATTTAGTTATTTTTCTTATTTTACTACACACACTTTAAGGGGAAGTTGTGTGCCTCATACATGGGACTGCTGGAGGCAATGATAGATTGGTACAGCTTGACTCTTTATTGATGAGAGACTATTATAACACTTCTAAATGAACACAAGATGTGAAGAATGGGCAACATAGTTTGAATGTGATGTGAACAGCTGGTGTCCATAGGATGTTGGTGGAGAACATTCTGCCAGGTCAGATAATCTAGACCTTGATTTTCATCTTGGTGTCCTGACACTCTGTGGAGCCCTCGGGGAGTCTGATTTATCTTGGTATGGTATGGCTGGCATTTTATGCTTATATGCTTATTAACCTGCCATATACACTCAAACACACAGAGATCACAGACACACACTCTTATGATCTGTATAATTCAGAAGCAAACCCAGTGTGTTCAGGTTCAGACAGTATGTATACATTTTATGGAGGTAATGGATGTTCATCCACTATTAAAGGCTTTAGTTATTGGGCATTTTTTTGATAATCAAAAACAATTGTCATTGTATTCACATCTAATGGTTTGAAATTTATTTAAACAAGTTTTGTGTGGCAAATGTACTTTGCCCAAATGTCGGTATATATCCTGTGTACTCTGTTTCCCAGTTTCATACTTGTAAGGCCACAGTAAGACATGATATAAAGCATTTTTTTTTTTTTCTTCTTTTTCATATATAGCTTTTAACCCAATGCCGCCGGGGAAAATTAACAAAAAATGGGGAAAATGCTGTTCCCATTTTCTATGTTCTTCGTGAAATGTCTGCCGATAGATGGCTCTGCTAGCACCTGATTTGAAATGGCGGGAAAAACGTATTTTTCACTAGTGCCATGAATATCAATGGTGTTATTTTTATTATAAACATTATAATTTTTATAATGTTTTTAACATTAGTAACAGTTTCAAAGAAACGGGTAAACGGGCGAGACGGGCGGTACTCGTAACTGGCTCATTGGGGAGTTAGTACAAGTGTTGCCATCTATGCGTAAAAACAATCAAACAAGTACTTACGGTGGGCATAGCATGTACGTATAAGTCATACCCGTTGGGTTAAGCTAATGGTAGTGTAGTAGATGGGTATATATATACCACTTGAACTGGTCTCTATCTCTTTAGGGAGTGATTGTATGGGTGTGAGATCCCACTGGTATAGCTGGATGCTGGAGTGTGAAGATCAAGGATTGTGTGGTTCTTGCATTGCTGCTACTGTTGTTGTATTTATTTAGAGGATCGGGGAAGGCTGATCTTGGTTCCAAATTGTGCGGGTTAAGTACACTAGCACTGTTGGAAGCACACAGGGAAAGAGGGGAGTCCGCAGTCCAATGAGAGAGCCGAGAGGTGTCTGTTTCAGCCAGTCAGGTTTCTGCAGTGAGTTGAGAGAAGTGCCCACTGGTAAGAGTGCAAGGATACGGGGAACCTGGGGATGTATACTGAACTTCAGGTTGCGGGGTCATGTTGTTACAGTGGTTTTAAATCTTATTAGTGTCTACTTTGGATGATAAAATAGCCAGTGTATATTTAGCATATATATGCATTTCATTGGTAAGTATAGATTTCAACTGCTTTCCAAATTAGAATAGGTTTCCATTCTAATTTAGCTTCATGTGACTGCTTTACAGGGTATCCAACAGAAATGTGCTGTCAGATGTTGTGTCTGCAAAGCCTCTTTTGATCAACTAGAGCAGCTGTCATCACACTCCCTGGAGGCCCATCAGCTGGAGACACCACGTTACATGTGTCCACAGTGTCCTCGTACCTTCCCCAAAGTCACATCTATGACCAACCACCAGCGGAGGAAACATCAGGAAACATTGCAGGGGTAGGCCGTTGCATCATCATCTCTTACATTCTTCATAGGTTACTGAATTTATCTTGGCAATTCAGATGGAATCAAAATTAGTTCATTTACATCTTGTATCCCACAGGTGCCCTAAGTGTAGGAAATTATATCCAGCACACTACCTTTGGACTCGTCACATGTTGGTCCACTCAAACACACGTCCATTTTCATGCGACGAGTGTGACAAGAAGTTCAAAAGTAAGCCAGAACTAATCAACCATAAGAAGGTTCACAGACCAAGTGAAGAACGCTACACACACTGCTGTGAAGTGTGTGGGAAAAGGTATGGTTTATTAAAGGGACTGCCTCGTTTGTTAATTTTCTTATTTATTTTTGTTTATTTTTTTCAAGAACTTTGCAACTCCCACCTTCTTTTCATCAGTAAGACATCTTAAGTTTCATTAAAGATCAACAGCTTTATATTTGTTTACAAAAATGTGAAAAATCTTTTTTTTTGACATTCCTCCTGAAATTTTCCTCTGATCCCCTATCTCATTTCTTAATTCATCCCCTCCTGCTTTTCTGACACTCAGTTTTAACTTGTGAACTCATTTTTTGTTTCATAATAACTTCTACCCTTAACCCCCCTTTTCCCCTTTTACTAATTCCTACATTGCTCCATTTATTCACTCTCTTTACCTTCATCTCTCTCTAACCTTTTCAGTACCATTAATGCCCCCCTTTACCCTCTTTGCTACTATACTTTTCCATAGTCTTTATGACCTTTGATGTCCAGCACATTTATTTTCTTTTTTAACCATTAACCATTGCCATGCAAACCTGTGCACCAGTGCTGGCTATGTCCTTGCTGCTTCTTGTTACCTGATATCTAGTTGTAGGTGGCTGGTTGAACACATGGATGCAATCACACTGCTGGCTACATCTTTTGCTTTTTCACTGAGTGACACATCCTTCAAAATTGGCCCAACTTCCCTCAAGCAGTGCACATGGTGGCTGTTACTTAGGATAGTGTCTTGCCTGACAGGTGGCCATGTGCCCAGCGAAGCCTTCTCTGTGCAGGCTGTTGCGATAATGTCATTGGCAGCAAAATGTCTATTTTGATATTAATTGGGGTTTCAGTTCCTTGTCAGGACCAAGTAGTGTCATGTAGTGTGCTTGCAAGTGGTCCATATCCTGAAACTGGCCACAGGTCTAGAACACAAGCTGGCTTGTGCAATCCCATAGCCAGCTTCTGTAGCAGCATGTACTTGCTGATGTTGCTGTTATAATCTTATTTATTCAGAGAGCAAAAGAGGGTGCAAGACATCCAAACATGCCAGCAATATAGGGCTAACTAATGACTACTTCTCCATGCACTGTTGCTATTGTTGCTTAGCATTGCTGCTGCTATTAGTACTCCAGTATGCTGGTGATTTTTCATTTGTACCACACCATACATAATTTTTAGGAATGACTTTGTTGGAATAACCCCCCCCCCCCTAAATCAGTTAAAATGCAACTCATTCAAAACAGCCAAGAAATGAGCAATCCCATTGACAGTATTTTTGGATTTGAAAAAATCTTAATGTGTCTAAACTTCAAAGTGTATTCTAAATTACAAGTGCATTGCTTGTAAGTATTGAAAAAAGGAAAAACTATGTATGTCACATATTATACCATATATCAATGAAATGCTGCATTTTGGGAATAACACTGTATTTGATACTTCTAGTGGGGTAACCCTAATGTTATATATATATATATATATATATATATATATATATATATATATATATATATATATATATATATATATATATATATACATTTTATATATGGATAAATGGATGGATAGCTGTATTTATGTATATTATATATAGATAGATAGGTAGATAGATGTATTACAGTGTAATATTGCATCTGTGTGAAAAATTATATTTTAGATTTCTACTTGTTTAAATCTAAGGCTAACCCACTTATAGATTTTTTTTGGTGGGGTTTGGCAAGCAAAGGAGAGTTTTTTCAATTTTGAAAGGTATCAAAAATCCATATATCTCAAAGTAGCCAAAATTAGTAATTTTGGTAAATATTTAACTTGATGGTCCCCATTTAGATATTATTTTATTTATTTATTATTTTTTTTCTTGATCTATACTAAATGTTCATAATCTGAAGGCAGCTTCAGATTCAGAATGTAATTGAAATTCACATATGACACATGATGATTTTTCCTGCATATCAATATTTTCTGAAAGTTGGTGGTGTACTCATATGCTTGTGACTGCCTGCTTTCAGATTTACACAGAAAGCAAATCTTGAAAGCCACCTAAGACTTCACACAGGAAACCGTCCCTTCTCGTGTGAGTTTTGTGGAAAGTGTTTTTCTCAGAGAGGGAACATGGAGGAACACCGTAGAATCCACACAGGGGAAAAGCCGTTTGTATGTGATGTCTGTGGGGTCAGGTTTGTAGGAGTGTCTTCTATTATTTTCTTGTAAATCTCTTTGGATAATATATATTTTTTTTTTCTTGAATGTAGGTATGCCTGGTAGTGCAATGTATATGAAACCAATTATGCATATTGATAAATGTATTGATAAAAATTTGATTGGTATATTGCATATTTTGATAATTTTAATCCATTTGGTCTTGTACAGTTATTCACGCCAGGGGCAGTTAGCAATGCACAGAAGAAAACACAATGGTGAAAAGCCACATAAATGCCAGTACTGTGAAAAGGAATTTCTGCGGAGAGAAGTACTACGTAAGCATGAACATATGCATACGGATACACGTCCATACAAGTGCTCCTACTGTGAAAAAAGTTTCAGGTAAGTAATATTTTATTCTTATGCTGAACTTCCATGGGCAAACATCTCCATGACAGTCCACAAAGTTAACCTTTATTTGTCTTATGAGGTTCCATTGTTTGCAGAGATCAAGGAAAGCGCAAGGTGCATGAGAGGCTCCACACTGGGGAGAGGCCCTATGAGTGCCAGGTGTGCGGCAGGGGCTTTTGTGAATCAGGCAACCTGCGCAAGCACTTGCGTGTGCACCAGCGGCGCCCAGGTGCTGTGGTAGCGCCAGCTGCCCCACCTGCAGCAAGGGAGCGAGATGGCCTCCTGCCCCCTGCAATCAGTGTGGCTGTTAGCAGTGCTACACCAGGACCCACCAGCTACAGTGTGCCCCATACAACGTTCACCTTCCCTGGTACCCCTGCAGTGAGGCACGGTGTGGAAGGCATGGCAGAAGGGTCGCTCATGCTGGTGCCGGAAGTGTCCGGCTTAGCCACACCTGCCACACACATTGTGACTTCTAGTATGCCCCACAACCCCCAACCTGCCTTGGCTGTGCCCATGACTGGCTCCCCATGCCCCACCAGCCACCCACTTGTCACCCTTCGGCCGCTGGAAGAGCCAAGGGAAAGTCCTGCCTTGGCCGAGGGCGGCGACAGGGAAGACTACAGGGTGAGCGCCCCCTCTTCATCCTTCCAGACAGTTGGATGGGCGCTCTATCAGACTTAAGTACTCCCTTGTCAATATATGTCTGCCTTCATTCAATTTCGATACCTTGTGCTGGGCTCCCATATGAGTGGGGGCTGGGCTCCTTTAGGTGTATGGGAATCCTCAAACTATGGCTTCCCTTTTGAGTGGAATGTCTGTTATTGTTTAAATCGTTAGAACTTTGTGATGGCAATGAAGACATTGTGAATGATAAAGAATTGAAGAAGTTTTAGTTGGATATTGATTTGAAACTTTTACTGTTCATCTTGATATTATTATTGTAATTATTATTATTATTAATATTACTTATTATTATTATTAATATTATTATTATTAATAATATTATTATTATTATTATTATTAATATTATTATTATTATTATTATTATTATTATTATTATTATTATTGTTATTATTATTATCATTATTATTGTATTATAATGATATTATTGATATTATTATTATAATTATCATTGTTATTGTTAATATTACATATTATTATCATTATTATTGTTATTATTATTATTATTATTATTATTATTATTATTATTATTATTATTATGTCTTACAATATATTATTATTATAGTTATTATTATTATTATTATTATTATTATCATTATTATTATCATTATTATTATCATTATTATTATTTTCTTTTTGTTGTTTTATTATTACTATTATTATTGTTACTATCATTATTATTATTATTATTATTATTATTATTATTATTATTATTATTATTATTATTATTATTATTATTATTATTATTATTATTGTTATTATTATTATTATTATTATTATTACTATTATTATTATTATTATTAATATTGTTATTATTACTATTATTATTATTGTTGTTACTATTATCATCGTCATCATCATTGTCGTTCTTGTAATTATCATGATTCCTCTTTTGGGCCAGAGATAGGAATAGCCAAATTGTTCATAGACACAGTTTCATTTGGATTTTAAATGGGGATGTTAATTTGACTTAAATTTCAAGGGATGTGATTATCTGTCATATCAGCTGAAGAATGTGGCCATGTGATTGGGATTAGTTACTGTGCTTTTACACCTAATTACCATGTCACCCGTTATCCAGGTAATAAATCCGTCCAGATTGATAGGTTCTATTTACGCATAAAAGATTGCACCTGTTTTTCTCTGTGTCTTTCTTCAGACAGCGCAGTTGATGAAGGATCTTTGTGCAAATACAGTTACTCTATAAGAAACACCCTTGGAAGTGTCTTTAGTGCAAGAGCTGTGTAATTTCAAAACCAAACTCAGGCCATCTACATAGTGTGCAGTAATTGACAGAAAAGATACTGAAGATTCAAGAAAGTTGTTTATTGTTTATTAAGATATACACAGGCAATGGGTATGAAAGCCCTGTGGTAAATGCATGTCATAATCCTCCCAGACAACAATGGATGCTATAAAAGAGTAAAAAATGGTAGTAATGGGTGAATACTATTGGAAATCTTCAATGCAGTAAGTCTATCATAGTTTGTACAATAGTTGAGAGTTTATTGCAGGAACATGAAAAAAATTGCTATCTCGAATATGCTGATTTTCTTATGTTAATGTTATTGCTGGTATTGATGTCAGTATCATCATTATTATAATTACCATCATTGCCTTTACTTTCATCATTGTTATTATTATCACTATTATTATTATTATTGTTATAATTATTTTTATTATTGTTAGTTTTATTATTATGATGATGAGCTTGGATACTGTCATTATTATTATAAGCAGTTATCACAGTTATCACTGCCATTATAATCATCATTGATGTTACCATCATTGCCACCATCAATATCAGCTCATTTGTTATTTTCAAATAATCACAATCACACCACTATCACCATTGCCATTATTAGTTTCTAATATAGTTATTATTATCATGCTCATCATTACTATGATAGTCATCTATAGAATCATTCTTAACTTCACTACTGTCATCATTATCACTATCATCATCACCTTCACTGTCATCATCATGAGCAGAGTCACTATCATCAACCCTAATGTTGTCATCACCATTATTATCGTTCTGTCATGTTATCATCCTTGTTATGATCATCACTGTTTTTAACATCATTGTTTTTAACCAGTTAATGATAAAGCATGGTAGAGCAAGTGGAATTAATGGTTATTGAAAAAAAATGATAATAATAATAATATTTTTATTAATGTAATGATGATTATAGCAATAGTAATGAGTGTGATGACAGCAATAAATGGTAATCATGATGATAATATTGGTGATGATTGCAAAAGTAGGACAACAGTCTTGATGGCAGAATGAATAAGTTATTTATGAATAATAGTATATGTAGAACCATACAAAATGAAATAGGTGTTACCACATTGAGGGAACTAATACAGAAAGTGAAATTGAAATCTGAATTAATATTTTGTAGATGGTTATATTCCATAATTTTTTAAATACCTTATTTCTGATTTAACTTCATTGTTTCATTGCCCTTGAAAACATTGAGTTTTATATGTATTACTAGAAACTTTCTGCCAGTGACTAAACATGTACTTATCATTTTTAACTCAGTCATCCAGTAATTTTTATCTTTGTCTGGCCATAATGGATTTACACTGAAAAAACGAGAAATTACAACATGTGTTCAGGTGTGGTTGAATCTTTGTAGTTTTAAGGTGTAGTCAAGCTTGTACTGTATATTTTGAACAATGTGCAAATGATTGTTAATTGTATGTAATATACAATGAAAAGACACAAAGATAATGTTTTCATAATCTTGGAAAATAAAACATGTTCTTTTTTGAAGTACTTATTTGAACATTGATTTTCACTTTGGCTGAATGTACTTAACTCTTGGGGAAAAAATCTGTTTTTTCACTTTGGCTGAAGGTACTTAACTCTTGGCTAAAAATCAGTATAATGTTAGATTTGCTGCTTACATTTATTAATTGGACCTCTAGTTGCTTGTAGCATTGAGGTTGTGTGACTGTTTTTTATTACTTGCTATTAAACAAGTGTTGTTCAACATTACACAAGTCTTATGATAGGTAATGTAATTGTTTGTAGCAGATAGCGTTCTTAAATAATGATAATGATAAAAAAAAATTGTCTTAGTTTGGCCAGGTGGAGACAAGAATGTGTCATATAGTGCACATTCTTTACCAGTTATCTCTCAGGGAAATCTTAGTACTACTTCTGGATGAGCCACTGCTGCCCACCAATGATGTGTCTCTACATTGCATTTGAATTTGATCACACTATATATTTAACTGAAATTTTGTCACAAAATACAAAGCATATGGAAACAGATATCCAGTACCTAAAGGCCCATAATGCAAGATAGAACACAACCCATCACCGGCACAGTGTGCAGGTAGAGCTGTTCTGTTGTCCACACGATGGTGTCTAGGGATGAGCCAGATTGGTGGTTGTCAGGGTCATGCGCAGTACAAAAACTATGGTGCCTATAAAGGATCGAAAGAGTACAGCATTGTGTACTATAATAATTTCAATATAAATGAAGAAGAGATGAAACGAAGTGCAAAGCACATTGTAGAATTTGGCATATTGAAAGAAAAAAAATTGTCCTCTGACATTTCTTTCTTTCGTATCTTTCTCATTCCCCATCTTTGCTGGTTGCGAGTGTCTGCTTATTTTGTCAGCAACTGTTAAGGGTCACACCAATTTTTTGCATGGCCGCTGACGTGTTATCTACTGATGATTGTTTGTTTCTTTTTGTAAGTCCATTTTCATATCACAGGCACGAGAGTTGCCGATGAAGTCCAATTAGGTGTCTCATATCTGGACCAGTGATATTTGGTGGCCTCAGTACTAACAAGTGCGGCACCTGAGCTCGTTTGTCTGGCAACCACAGACAACCAGATCAAGTACTACAGTGCTTTGCCCGCGTGTACAAGCGGTAACCTCGCCAATTGCCAAACTGCTCAAGAAAACACATGTTAACGACATACTGTATAGTTCATAATCAGTGTCCAAATATGTTCAGTCACGCCCCGGATCAGTGCCGAAATGCGGGATCGAAGCGTGGGAGTCGACCAGTGTTGCCAAAATACTGTCCTCTTCAATCCCTTGCTCGTTGTTGTCGTGGGGAGCTTAGGAGGCGAGGACTGGAACCCATTAAGCCCCCGACTCAAATTTTGCACGGTCTTTTTCCCCTCCTGCTTTTTCGTTTCTGTCCCTTCCTTAACCCCTTCTACTATCCACTTGTTAAGGTGTGAGAGCCATGCTGAAAGGATGAAAGGCTGGCTTTGTGCCAGTCGTGAACGGCCTGAGGGAGCCATGGGCATGGTATTCCTCTGTTTTAGTTGTCTAGCCTTTACCCCTCAGGATGTTTCTCTCCCCAACATACTCTAAGCTTACCATGGCTAATAATGAAGATGTTACCCTTATTAGGGGCAATGAGGCTTGCCCCTTCATCAAATATCCCCACCAACTCAAACTCTCCCGGTTTCCCGACCCCAGGTTCTCCTTTGACCACGACTCAAAACACAACAACTACTAAGCCCTCCTCAATGCATATTAACACATTATCCACCAAAGTCAACCCTCAAGCTCCAGGAGAAATTTCAACTTCATCACCTCTACCCCTACAACCTTCATCAATCACCCCATCCTCCCTTATTACTACTTTACAGCCTTATTGTCCACCTCTCCGTAATGCTATCTCCCTCAACACTACTCCCTCTTCCACACGTTTCCGCCCTTCTACTCCCATCCCTACAAATATCTTACTCCCTACTCTGACAACACTCTTCTCTTCCAGCAATGTCTCCAAAAACAAGTAGGCAAAGTCTCTTTCCGGAGCCGACCTGATCGTTCTCGTTTTGTCAGTAACATCTGAAAACCAAGCTATAGCATTATCAACTCTAACTGATCTCTCTGGTAACCCCATTATTGCAGAACCTCATCCAACCCGCAATACTTGCACCGGAGCTGTCTCCCCAGCAAACTGCCCTATCTATAACAAAAATTGGTCAGATTGTGGATGAGACACTCGCCTGCCTCACGGACTATGATGCGGTATCAGTTCAGTACTACTCCATTCCTCCTAAAGGTCATCGTAAGAACCCCACCAACATTGCCAAAATTACATTCCATAGACATGACCTTCCCTTTAAAGTTTACATTGGTGGAGAATCTCTTACTGTCCGACCATATCAACCTCGTCGTCAGTGCCAAAATTGTTGGCGTTTAGGACACCCAGCCAAACATTGCCGTTCCACAGCTGAGGTGGAAACTCTCAGATTCAGATTTGGACTCATCTACGTGAAGCTAGACAGGAAGCACGTCGACGAGGTTTTTCTCTTACTCCCTACTCCAGTTTTGTCGCTCGCTCTGCCCCTCCCCCTCCCTCCCAAGACGTTCCTACACCCTCCCCTATACCTATCTCTCCTACATCTTACTTCCCCACTTCTGCCTCCTACTTTCCCTAGTCAATTTTTTTTGCCATTCTGAATCCAGACACTCCGATCTATACTGCAGCCCCTATACCCCCCCCCCCCCCCCGCATTATATCAACAGTAGGTAAGCTAAGGTTCTTTGATTAAACAAATGAAAAAAATGCTTTTTACATTGTTTTCATATAATGTAAAATAAACGATTCCATTATGTAAAATGTGTTCAGTAATGGGAAACCTCACATGATTTTTGTTTCCCTTAGAATTCCCGTTCTCTGTGTAACCCCGCACAACACAGAAACATGCCGTAATATCAGTACTGTAATGTTGTTAACACTGCTATCAACCACCCTTCAGCACGTAGGATCACCGGTCAGTGTGTGGGTCTTCTGGCCTTTGAAGTTGCGGTCGTCTGATTTTTGTGCTTCGAAATTACTTGCTATACGTTGAATATATATATACTTTATATTTTTTCCTAATGTCAGAGTGAATGTTTGTGTGTGGTATGGCATGTACCCAAGTATTTTGTCAGGCTCGTATTCAGCTCCCGGACGCCGGTGGAAAAATGAACACCTGAGTTCACTCGGTACGCTCAAGGATAAATAATAACGTAACAGCACAAGGAACGCACATGCAGCGCGTTGAAAGGCGTGACAAGACTGACAGACTCTCTCTCTCTCTCTCTCTCTCTCTCTCTCTCTCTCTCTCTCTCTCTCTCTCTCACTCTCCCTCCCTCCCTCCCTCCCTCTCTCTCTCTCTCTCTCTCTCTCTCTCTCTCTCTCTCTCTCTCTCTCTCTCTCTCTCTGGAATGGAATGGACACATCCAGAGTCCTGCCTTATACAAAATCTTCACTTCCCTCAATTAGAAGAAATGTTCGATGTTTCAACAGACGAAAATCCATCTGTCATCATTTTTATGACAGAATTTGTACGACTACATAAAACCTTGTCTTCTTCAATGGGTTAAGCAGCTTAAAGCTTGTCACCCACCAGATCGGATCGGAAACGCCGCGGAAGCTTACGAAGCCTCGGAACGGACACGACACGACGTCGAGTACGCCCACCAGCTCAGACGGATCGGAAACGACGCGGGTGCTATGTTTATCTTTCAGTCTTGAGAGTACCTCGACATAGAAAGGTTCCCTACTAAATACTAAAATGAGTGATAATATTAATTAATGTAAAATACTACTCTTCGCGTTAATTAATGTAAAAAACATGAAAAGAAAGTAAATCCATCATTCGAATGAGACAGCTCGAGACGAAGGAGGTAAAGCATAAGCGAATGATTCCGAACAGGAAATAACTATATGCATGCATACAACTTATGTACACCTCTATCACACCACACGTAAGTGCTGTTTGCCCGTCACAGCCACGCTCATGCATCACCTCCTCTCCAAACACCGTTCTGCGCATGTGCAGTCTCTCGGACGCATCGGAAGCATCAGAAAAATATTCTTCCCAAGATATCCGCGTCGTTTCCGTTCCGATCCGACGCGTCGTTTCGTTTCCGATCCGATCAGGTGGGCGTTAGCTCGTTCAAATGTATGGTTTAGATTTTTTTCCGATGCTTCGTGTCCGTTCCGACGCATCGTTTCCGATCTGGTGGGCGACAAGCTTAAAACGGCTGTCCGGACAGGATCTATAGGGGGATAGGGGGCAATAACACATACATCTATTGTTCAGTGTGGTCCCCTACGATTGGGGCTCCCTGGCTAAGGACTTCCTTTACAAAAAAAAATAATCATAACACTGTTTTTATCATTTTAAACGAATTCTATTTCCTCCCCTCTGTACCCTTTTCACTACCATTCTACACAGCAGCGTTCTACAACCTTTGACATCTAACGTTATCCTAATCGTTAACTAATTCCCACCCTTTTCGCCACGACAATTTACCATAGTGCGATATGGCCTTTGATGTCTAGCACATTTATTTCTTCTAACCATTAACCATTAACCATTTACTATTGTAAGAAATTAACAGAGTGTGTGTGGGGGCGGGGGGCGGAATATAGAAAGGGTACCCCATTCATTTCTAGGCAGAGGCCTCCCTTTGAAAACTTGATAATTTGGTAGCAACCATATACTGAGAAAATTAGTAAATAGTGTTAATCTACAAATGTAATGACAAATCAAGACAAGGGATAACCAAGCAAATTTTTCGTAAAGTTCGAATTTAAAACACAACAGTGCAACAGCCCCACAGATAACGTTTTTTTTTTCTCACTTCCCTCTTGTGTTGGCGGACAAGAACTTTATTTGTGTTTTGATTTATTTAAATTTACTGAAGGGAGTGTGGAAGAGTCGTGTAAAAAAAAATCATTATACAAGATGTCTTCAAAAGGAGACTTCGCATATAAATGTAAACTCCCAGAAAAAATAGAATATGATTGGACTGTAAAATCTAAAGTCCTTCGAAAGATATTAGAATGATTAATCTTCATTAACCATGTACCGAAGATAAAGAAATTACCTTGATTATAGGAGACATTATGATACTAGCGGTAATAAAAAAACGTATAAGAAGAATTACACGTATTTATTAAACATCTATTATACATGTAAATACATCTATAACAAAAGATGACTGGTAATGATGCTAAAGAAGTAACAGGAACAAATATAACAATAATAATCAGCACCGTTTTTGCAATAGGTTTAAATATTTCTTATTAATCACAATTTCAGAAGAGATAGATACTAAAAACATCAGCGATTCCTTAGCAACATCTTAGCATTTACATACAGAAAGGATGGCGAAAAAGGTAAACAAATCCTTTTAACACGTTACCATTCAGTATGCGTCTGTCTTTATGTATGACAACGATTAACGTGACTCTAACAGTAGTGGAGATGAAGGCTGCTTCATTACATTTTTAATTCTTCAGATACCAAACCTCATTCCGCCGGTTTTCTAATTTCATCGGAGAGTCATAGCCAGCCCTGATAAAAGGAGGAACAAAAGGAAAGGTAGATAATAATCAGACACTTAACAATACGATCGATAAATGTGACTAACGTTTATTTATATTTAGAAAAAAAAATCATTTAAATATCTATCTATTCATTAATCTCAGTTATTTCAGAATGTATATGTAAAATTGATGAAAAAGCTCAAAACGAAAAGGCAAATTCAGTACTTAGGGAGAAAACTACGAAGCACAAGAGAAGGAAAAACAATGATAAACGAGAAAACAAGGCGAGGCAAAAAAGACGATAATTAGGAAGACAAGATAGGAAAGGTTCAGCAAGAGAATGAGACGAAGAGGAAAGAAGGGATATAATACCTGTAGAAGAAGGAGAAGTCGACTCCGTCCTCCTGCGCTGCCTCGAGGTCGACCTTAAGGGCCTCCGAAGCCTCCTCCCAAACGCGCTCCTTGTTCGCGAAGCCGCCGAAGGTCCTGCAGGGGAGGGGGGGGGAGGCGACTGTGTTAGTGACAATAAATGCACACTTCTTTACATTTATAGTTCAGTGTATGAATCTTGGGGCAAAAAACACCTTTTAGTGTGTGTGTGTGTGTGTGTGTGTGTGTGTGTGTGTGTGTGTGTGTGTGTGTGTGTGTGTGTGTGTGTGTGTGTGTGAGTGTGTGAGTGTGTGTGTGTGTGTGTGTGTGTGTGTGTGTGTGTGTGTGTGTGTGTGTGTGTGTGTGTGTGTGTGTGTGTGTGTGTGTGTGTGTGACATTCTCGTGTGGAGAGGCAGGTGCTGTGTCCGAAAGTTAATTTTGATTTATTATTCATTAACATTTTTGTCGGGCTGTTGGAGATAGACTTTCCGCACTGTGTATATATGGCGTATTTTGGCAAAGATCGGCTGAAGGAGGAACGCGCTCCGGCCAGCGCTGGCGAGGTGCGCGTCGCAAAACGAGGCAAGGGAACAGGCCCTGCATGTCCCTCGTGCCAAGACTCACCTGACGAAGGCGGTGAAGGCGGGGCGCTCCTCGATGTACAGTTCAGCGTTAGTGGGCGCTGGCGGGCTGGCCTGGTGGGCGGCGGGCAGGTAGAAGCACATCTGGGCGTCAACTTTGTCGTCGATGGGCGTCTTCTTCATGCTGACGGGCGCGGTCATCGGGATATTAGCCTCTGTCGGGGCGCGGGTAAACGGTTTTTATTCTTCCTATTTTTCATTCTCATAGTTATATATATAATTTGGCCAGGCACACCTGAATACACACACGTAAGAAGACATAACACATACGGCCCTATTAAATACTAACAGTGCCGTTCGTCTTTGCCCTTGCTAAGCAGAGCGAAATCCGACCGACTCACCTGCTTCGTTGCCGCCGTCGATGTAGCGGAAGAGGGCGAAGAAGGCGCGCGTGTCCTTGCGCCTGCTGGCCGCCTGCTGGACCTGGCTGTGGCAGACCCACTTGGCCGCGGGGTACGCGCGCACTTCGTAGCCCTGTGGGCATGCAGAGAGGGAATTAGCTGCACTTCACGATTTAATCTTCACTTCTGTATGTTTCCTGGAATGAGTATCACTTAAATTTCTGGACTTGAATGTAATAATGTAATCAGTGATACGATAATAATGCTAATGATGATAATGAAAATAAGGATGACAGTATTAGTAATGATATTGTTGATGATAATTATGAGGACGATGGTGGTGAATAATAATGTTAGTGATAATAATAGCGATAGTAATGATGCTAGTAATAATAATATAAGTAATGACAACAACAACAACAACAATAATGATAATAATGACAATAATAATAATAATAATAATAATAGTAACAATAACAATAAAAAACAATAATGATAAGGAGATCATGATGATAAAGGTAATGTTGGATGTATAACTGCAGTCCTATTAACAATGATATGGCATTATCACTTAAATCTCATATATATACTTACATCGCCCTCCCTGGTGACATTGTACGGCGCAATCTCACTTGCCTCCTCCTCGTACTGTGATGGAAGGAAGTTAAAGGCTTCATGTTTTAATAGGCAGAAAATGCACTCAAATAAAGGGGATTATTGGAAAACAGGATCAGTTTCGATATCATCCTGGATTTTTGTTTTCCAGTTTTGAAGATCGACATTGTTAAAAGAAATATTCATTTTAAGTTTAATGTATTTTCGTACCACAGCAGAAAGTTTTGGTATCCAAATATTTTCTTAGTGCCTTTCAAACTCACTAAAAAAACAAGACTAGACTACAAGGCACAAGAGAAGACAGACAATGCTACATTCATATTAATATAAACAAATAAGCAATAACCGGAGCCAGAAACCCACCTGCGCCCGGGCCAGCTGCGCGCACACGAGGCAGGCGACGACGAAGGAGAGCTTCATGGTGGACTGAGGACGGCAAGTCGGTCGGTGCGAGAAGC